TAGCGATGAGTGCAAAATATTTAAATATTGTAAAATAAATATTTATAATTCACATTATACATTAAATATGTGATTATGTACATTATTAAATGAAATCATAAATTAATATTCATTAATCAAGCGATTTGGATGGATGGTTGGATGGATATTCACTGTTGATGTACTCAATGACTGTAAACTATTCATATGTATTTATATGTAATTTCCATTTATTATTTAAGTGTTGTTTTTGGTAGCACACTGTAACAAGTGACACTAAATATAACATGGAGGGAATGTGGTTATATTTAGATGATTATAGTCAAGTAATAAGATCATTATGCATGCATAGTATTAAGTATGAAGTTCTCTGAATGGAAAGTGAGGCCCCTTCTTAATCTCAGTGTGTGTGGAATGTCTCTCAGTTATCCACACTTTACACACTCTTTGTGGCTTCCTTCACAGGGCCCTGTGCTGTAACATGGATTATTATTTTTTTGTTTCCTGCCCTTAGAATCCATGATAAGAAGACATATGGACTACCAAATATTCAGCATCAAAGGCAGCGTTCAGTCCTATAATTTATGTCTAGGAAACTATGAAACCCCGGCTCTGGCCTTGGGCCATTTAGGCTTTTCCTCTCTGTGAGCGCTGAGCAGGAAAGAGGGGCCCCCTGTCAGTTCACCCCAGTTCTCAGCACAAATGGAAAGGGGGACCATGTGCTGAAGGAATTTCAAGGAAGTGTGTGTGTGTGAGAAAGACCTGAAAGGCTGGAGGCCCCATGAATAGAGAAGGGAAGCATTTTTTTTTAAATGTGATTCCATGGTCCTCATTGGGAAGAAAGGCAGGATCTCCCCTGTCACAGCCATTTTAAAATCAGCCATGCTGAGCCAACTGTCTAGGAAATCTCTTCTTGCCAGAGCTTGTCTTATGTTGTTTGTTGCACAGATTTAGATGGCGCAGTGCAAATTTGCTATTCAATTAATTGATTCAATTAATTGATTCAATTAATCATTTCGAAGAGTGCCATTTCAATTTCACTTATGCTTTCATTTTTGAAGTATAAAGCAATATTGCATAGTTTTCCTGTTGCCAGTTTGATTTTAGCCAAATGAGTTGAGAGGCCCTTAATGTAGCCCTCACATCAAGGGCCAGATGGTATGAATCAAGCTTTAAGTGATTTCTTCCCCCCATGGTGGTATTTGGTTTCAACTGCTCAGTTCATACCCAATCTATACTCTTTTGTCCCATCATAACTGAAACATTTAAACCAGCAACTGATGCACGTCCGGTGTGGTTTACTAAGACCAAATCAAAAGAATGACTCAGAATTTACCAAACATGCCAAAGGCAGTGAATCTGTCAAAGATACTTAATGTAACCATTACTAAAGATTTCTCACCAAGACAAAGCAATCACTTAAAATGGTTGAGATATACAGAGGGTTGAAGGCCAGATGACTGGACCGGAGAAATAGACTGCGGAAGTTGGAACATGGGGTATATGTGCTTCAAAGTAATGCATTCTGAATGGAATGTATGTTTGATCCTGGAATAAAAGAGTAATAGTCCAAAGGTAAAATCATACTTGTGAAATAGTTGCAGGTAAAAGTGTAGCTTACAAGTATGATTCCACAAGTACTTCACTTAATGAGTTGCTTATAATATTTCCACTCAAAATTGTGTCACTGGCAACTGGAGTTTTGTGTCAGCATGCTGTGCTAAATATAACATGCGCAGTTAAATAAGGACATGAAACGAGCCAGGAAAGCCTAGTGTAACATGATCCAGTCTTTCAGCCACAGTTCTAAACCTGATAAAGAACATTGTCTAAAAGCACAAATATAACTGTGACTGTATAAGGGAAACTATTCCCATGTGACTGACAGCCTCCTGGAATGTTCCATTTACTGAACACAGCAAAGGACAGACTTAATTAAAACTTGACATTACATTCAAAAAGGTTTCAATCTGTTTCCATTTTTTATATTTAAAAGGAGTCATAATAATTTGATGGATACATATATACAGACAGATCACTAAATAGATGGACAGACAGATCGATAGATGGACAGACCGATAAATAAATAGATCGATTGTTAGCTAGATTGATTGCTAGTTAGATGGACAGATAGATAAACTAAAAAAAAAAACTTCTAAATAAAAGTATGAATTCAATTTAAATAAATGAAAGATTATTGGAATGTTTTACA